CTTTAGAATAATGTGCGGCCCGCGAAACGAGTTTCCAATTTAATCTAGTATGTGCGAGTAATTCCAATTCCTTTGCTTATATCTGAACTTGTGCAAAGCGAACAACGCATGTCACAAGATCAATATAAAAATCTGCAACTACTAGAAAACCTATCTTAAATAAAGGTGCGGCCCGCGGTTTCACCATTTTTTTTTAATCTGGCCCTTCTGTATTAAAAGTTGGGCGTCCTGGAATTGGGGAATTGCATGTTTATTCCGGGGTAGAGAACAGACGGTTTTCTTGCATTAGCGAATAAATATGTGATTAAGATATTGAATACTATTCATGTAATAATCCGGCCGCCGAGGACTTCATTTTCCCACATCTGGCCCGCTGGCTAAAGAAGTTGCCTACCCCTGATTTACGCGGTTTCATTTTAAATTTATGATACCACAATATGGGTATGACCAACTAGTACTTGTGTTAGGCGCCATTATTAGTTTTCTCTGTCTGGTTAGAGCAGTGGGACTGCTGAAATTCAGCTTAGTTTACTTTGTGAATGGGAGTCTCGAAGATTAGTGGAGGTTAGCAGCACTCAGATAGGACATAGCTTGTAAGCGAGTCTGCGAGCCTTGGACGACTGTCTGCAGATTTTGAGTCAGTTGGGATCTGCAGATTTTACGTGTTTGTGACGTTATTTTTGGATGACGTCGTCAGGTGGGATTCAGGACATATTAAAAAATTGTTGATCTACGCCTACATAGTAGAAAAATATATGCTTTCCATCGCACCAAATTTCTCTGTGTATGTTCGCGGAGAAGATTTAACGTTGTAGTCCATGGATACCGTGCGGGTTAGTGTATAGTTTCGTACCTGATCCTGTGTTTTGCTGACATTTGCTGTAACACGTGGGGTCAATATCATGTTGAGAGATGGGGCTCGCGCTGTTTGGCTGTACAATTGCATGGAATTGTAGGGTTCCCAAGCTTTTTGTTTGTGCAGCGCCAAATTGTTTTGGGAAAAACCCACGGCGCACTTACACGAAAAATAATTGCTGCTCCTAAATAACACTCAATTTTGTAATTGTTTATCTGTACTTTAAGCCTTTCGATGTTTGCAAACATGTAGGCCTAAGGAATAGTTGATTCTACTTCATGAGATATGTGGCTGTGGTATATAATCGATACTCCAAGTAGCTTCTTAACTGAAATATCATTACTTTCATCTAACAATAAACTGAACTTATTGCTACCAATGTCCTTAGACAACTCTTCTTCAAAATGAGGGCATATTACGTTTTTGATGATGTTTGTGCACTTAGTTCGATGCATCTTTACATTGTCAATAGTTTTAGAATTTGATATGTTGTTCTGTAACATATCAACCATGTGATCACAGTTGGAAATTGCACTATGGCAACTCAAAAACATTGCTATAGATCCTTCCAAACCACGAATGTCATTATTCTTTTCGTTTATCATTAAAGACTTTAATGGAGTAGATTTGAATGGAAAGAATCAATTATGATTAATAAATGGTGGACTAATCAAACGATTAAAAACTTTTGTCCCAAAAGGGTGGGATTTTCATATTTATCTCAGGTGATAGCGAAGATGAAGAAGCTTTTTATACGAGGTTGCATATTGAAATAGTCAGCCAGCTAGGTATGGTTTAATGACCTGCAGTTACCTGAAAGCCCAGCAATGACATAGGGTTGACCAAACCGCCATTTTCGGATTTGAATCAACGAAACCACTGGGGGTAACAGTGTACCATATCCCCAAATATATTTCTCCAGAGTATTAAAATGTGTTGATTTTTACCCATTCCTAGGAATCAGTTTTTTATTACTCGTGTTGATACAATATTTCTTGCACGACGGAAATAAAATATCTAATGAAATACGGTAATTTATTTCGCCGAACTGGGGTTAGGGTAGGCTCTTACCTTTTAATTTAAAAGATACTTCATAAACCTAACTGTTTTTATCACAAATACTTATTTTACAGCAAAATGCTCTTGCACAACTGAAGAGATCGACAGGTTTTTCTTGGGTTGAAAACGTCGTATGGGCTTTCTCTTCCTATGAAAAATGTGAAAACTCAATTCGATAATTACTTATTTTATTTAACACAGTTGTACAGCGATAAATATTTTAAAATAATCTAAAACGGGCAATGTTAACATAAATGGATAAATGTACGTGAAAATATTTCTGAGTAATGGAATTTAATCATATTTATTTAGCGTCTATTTATCTAGCCTTCAGACGTACTTCAAAGAACCTTCGTACCAAGCCTTGACAAGACAAAGAAAACGTAATACTCACTGTTTACAGATCAAACATTCGATAAGATAGCATAATCATAGAGCGAAGCAGGGCCCCTGGTCCGGTTACCAGTACAGGTCGGGCCAGTATTGGATTAATAAGCCAGTTATTAGTTAGCCAGTCCCTGTCAGGTTTGGTAATAGTTAACTGTTAAATATGAATGGCATCAGCGGATGTCCTGCATAGACATAGGTACACGCTATAATGCATTTTTATTTGAAAAACGAAAATTTATTTCTCAGTGGTATTATTAATTTGAGGTGGGCAATTTTAGCGTTACTCTGACAATCTTGCGAGAGCATTAAATGACAATAAGTTCCGGTATCGGAATATCCAGACGTCATTCAAAGAACCTTCGCGATAAATCTTGACAATAGCAGGACCAAATTGACAAAGTAAGAGTAACAATACCCGTTTACAAATCAACCATTCAATAAGATGGCATAATCATAAAACGAAGCAGGGCCCCTGGTCCGCTTATCCGTTTGTGTCGGATATGGGATCAGTTATCCAGTTAATAGTTAGCCAGTCTATGTCAGTTATGGTAATAATTAATTCTGTTGGATATGTATGGTCTCAGTAGATATGCTAGATGGACGTTGGTACACGTTATAATGTTTTTTAATTATAAAAAAAAAAATTTCAAGTGTTATTGGTAATTTCGAGGTGGGCAATTTTAGCAATACTCTAACATCCTTATGTATTTTTTACGAATTATCAAAGAAAAAGTCATATTCACGGTTTTCAAAAGGACCCTCCGATAAGGCAGCTAAATCATATGGCGAACCAGGGACCCTGGTCCGGTTACCAGTTCGTGTCAGGTTTGGAATTAGTTAGCCAGTTATTAGTTGCCAGTCTATGTTAGTTATGATAATAGTTATCTGTTAAATATGTATGGCCTGGAGGCCTAGGCGGATATGCTGTATGGACTTTGGTACAAACAACAACGCTTTTTCACTTAAAAAAACGAAGTGTTATTGTTAATTTAAAGGTGGCCATTTCAGCGTTATTTTTTCGCGCTCACTTAGACATTACAAGAAAATAAGTTCTGACAAAGGTATATCCAGACGTTCTTTGAAGAACCTTCGCGCCAAGCCCTGGCGAAAGCAGAACCGAATTGAAAAAAGAAAAGTAATAATAACCATTTACAAATCATCCGAACCAATTTCGATAAAATGGCTTAATCATGTGGCGAACCACGGCCTCTGGGGCCAGTTTACCCGTCTATGTCTGGTATGGTAATGGGTAAGTTTTAGTTATGTATGGCCTCAGCAAATTTACTACATGAACGTTGGTACAAACTTTTGAAGAAAAAATTAGTGTTAATATAAATTTCGAGGTAGGTCTTTTTAGCGTTACTCTAACACGCTTTCGTGAACATTACATGACAATAGGTTCTGGCAAATATCGTCCTGCGAAAGTAGAACCGAATTGGCCGGTGGCCGTTCGCTTACCTGTAGCGAACGGAGCCATGAAAGTGTCATATAAAAATGAAATAAAAGAGAGCGTAATTTACCCATTGTTCTTCTGATCGTATTTTATGTTCTCTCTGTTATATTTACCGAGTAATATTACCTATGTCCTATATCTTCGAAAAAAAGGCGACCTTACAAATTGTAACACTGCGAATGGTTGCTTTAGTGCGATCAGAGTTATGTGCGTATAAAGCGTCTCCTTAGTTTGGCACCATTTTTGTTTTTAGTTTTAAGCTACGCTTATATGCGATATACGGTACTTAAGAACATATTCTGAAACTATCCAATTTTCAAAAAATGAAATGAAAAATGATGTGGTTATGTAAGTGTATATAGTAAGTGTGGAAGTACGAGAGTTACACAAACCTTCATAATTTTATCCCAATGTTGAACTTGAGCTTTTATTTGGAATAGGATGGGGCCGGGGTGTGCAACAAAGAAAACTTGTGCGCCCGCAGAGAAGCGCTGCTTTAGAATAATGTGCGGCCCGCGAAACGAGTTTCCAATTTAATCTAGTATGTGCGAGTAATTCCAATTCCTTTGCCTATATCTGAACTTGTGCAAAGCGAACAACGCATGTCACAAGATCAATATAAAAATCTGCAACTACTAGAAAACCTATCTTAAATAAAGGTGCGGCCCGCGGTTTCACCCATTTTTTTTAATCTGGCCCTTCTGTATTAAAGGTTGGGCGTCCTGGAATTGGGGAATTGCATGTTTATTCCGGGGTAGAGAACAGACGGTTTTTCTTCCATTAGCGAATAAATATGTGATTAGGATATTGAATACTATTCATGTAATAATCCGGCCCGCCAAGGACTTCATTTTCCCACACCTGGCCCGCTGGCTAAAGAAGTTGCCTACCCCTGATTTACGCGGTTTCATTTTAAATTTATGACACCACAATATGGGTATTGTAATAATATCTCTACCCTTGATTTCTATACCGGAGTGTAGAATATTATCAGAATAAAACTCGTTGTTTCAGAGTACTGTGTTTACTTCACGAATCAGAAAACGTTATACATGTTATACACTGGGGGCAGGCCAGAGCAAGATAATAATGGTATGAAAGGTCATGAACTTAGGCACTGAATTAATATAACATAATATATGCAATATCACTACATCCCCCTTTTTCCCAAATCAAGCCATAACTTGCAATACACTTAAATGTTCAAGAAATAACACTCAAAAGGAATTATTAAACATTCAATTAATGCTGGTATCTTTGAGGAACTTTGACTGTTCTTCCAGACCGTGTTATTGTCGGTTCTTGCTTGATCGGGGTCTGGGCTGGAATTTTTAAACTTCCCTCAGACTGATTACTGCTGTGTGGCTTATCAGCAATCTCTTGTTTGTTGGTCGAGTTTGAACGTTCTTTAGTATTTGATGGTTTAGGCGAGGTCCATTTGAATACATTCTCCTCTCTTTCCATCAAAGGTGTTGCTGGTGTATTGTTCTCAACATTGGTTGTGCTCGAAGATTCCACATATGGTGAAGCTGGCAAGCTTTCACGCAAATGAATTCTGTTGCGTTTCAGCTGATTTCCATTGCTCATTTCGATGTTGTATGAACGATCATTCTTCTTTGAAATCACTTTTGCAGGAATCCACATATCTTTTGCTTTATCAAACACTCTCACATCTTGTCCATTGTGAAAAGGCGGTAAATTTTTTGTGTGTTGATCAGCATATTGCTTTTGTACATCGGTATTATGTTTCACTCTGTCTTTGTAAATTTGTGGAACAGTATTGTCTGAATGACAAGGCAATAATGTAGAAATTCCTCTTCCAAACAGAAGTTCTGCTGGGCTTGGTAATACATTGTCAATCGGTGTTGCACGGACATTTAAAAGTGCTGCATCTATATCTCCTCCGGATTTGATACACTTTTTCATAATGGGTTTAATATATCGAATTTGTCGTTCGATAAAACCATTGCTCTGTGGGTGTCTAGCTGTACTGGTTGTATGAGTAATTCCCCACGCTTCACAAAATTTATCATATTTGCTTAAAAAACACGGTCCATTGTCTGTCACAATCTCTCTCACAGTTCCAAACATGGACAATATTTCTTTGGTTTTGGAAACCACATATTCTGCTGTCATTGAATTTAATTCTTTTACAACAGGGTACCTGCTGTAGTAATCAGAAATTATCAAGAAGTTTCTACCTTGGATTTCGAACAAGTCCGAACCAAGCTTGACCCATGGATGTGATGGTCGTTCGTGCATGATCATTGGTTCTTTTGTTTGCTGTGGTTGTAGTTCTTGACAATATTCACATGACTTGCAAATATTTTCAATATCTTTATATATTCTTGGCCAATATACGCAATCTCGTGCAAGTCTACGAGTTTTCTCAATACCTTGATGACCATGGTGCAATTGTTGCAAAATTGACAATCGGATAGGTTCTGGAATAAGTACTTGCTTACCCTTAAATATAATACCATTTTCAATGGCTAATTCATCTCTGAAGTTCCAAAAGTCTCTTAATGCACTTGGTACTTCTTTTATCTCATCAGGCCATCCTTCATAAATCATCTGACATAAGGATTTTAAAACAGGATCACAAAGAGTTTCTTCTCGGATCTGAGCTTGCTTGTTAAATGAAAAATTCAACATATCAATTTCCACATTTAAAGATTCGCATATGATACTCTCTATTCTGCTGTCAAGTTCAATATCATCACTTTTTTTAGTGTTTGGCAACCTTGATAGCGTATCTGCAAGTATCATCTCTTTACCTGGACGATATTTTACCACAAAATCATATCCTTGGATTTTCGTTATCATCCTTTGCAGTCTTGGTGGTGCAGAATGAATTGGCTTTTTAAAAATCATTTCCAATGGCTTATGGTCAGTTATTACAGTAAAATCTTTGCCATAAAGATAGTGGTGAAATCTCTGGATACCATGAACCACTGCTAAGCATTCTCGTTCAATATTGCTGTAATTAGATTGAGTATTTGACAAGGATTTACTTGCAAATGCTACAGCTCCATGCTTCTGTACAAGTGCTGCTCCAAGTCCTCTCATGGATCCATCAGCTTCCAAATTCACTGGCAATTTTGGATCATAGTATTGCAATCCAAAGTTCGACGCGACCATTTCTTTTACTTCATCAAATACTTTTTGATGATCTCTATCCCATTGAAATGAAATATCTTTCTTCAATAAGTCTCTGAGTATTGCAGATTTCTCAGATAAATTCGGCAAATGACATGCCAGAAATGTTGCCATTCCCATGAATTTTTGTAGCTCTTGTTTATCTCGTGGAGTTGGCATTTCTATAATGTCCTCTACTTTTTTAGGATCTGAAAACACTCCTTTATCGGTGTATATTCTTCCGAAAAATGAAATTTTGTTTGTTTTGACCACACATTTTTGTGAATTCAACATCAGACCTTCTTTTCGTGCCACTTCCATGAAGTGCGCTAATCGTTTGTCATGTTCGGCCTCAGTTGAACCGTGAATAACAATATCATCAGATATTCCAACACATCCTTCACATTGTTCAATTATTGCATCCATTCTTTTCTGGAATAAATCTTGGCTTACATTCAAACCAAATGGTAGTCGAAGAAAGCAAAATCGTCCACACATAGTTCTAAATGTTGTTAATTTTTGTGAAGTAGGTGCAAGTTTGATGCTCCAGTATCCAGCTTTTGCATCCAGTTTTGTGAAATATTTGGATTTTGTGAATTCAGGAGTAACTTCCTCTATTGTTGGAATTTTGTGTGGAAATCTTTTTAAAGCCTGGTTAAGCTTTCTGGGGTCTAAACACATTCTAAGACTTCCATCTTGTTTCACTGCATAAGTGAGTGATGAACACCAGTCTGTGTACTGGGTGACTTTTCTGATGATTCCCATCTTTTCCATTTTATCAAGTTCTGCTTTTATTTTGTCACGCAGATGTATTGGCACTCTTCTTGGAGGATCAATAAATGGTTCAGCATCTTTTTTTAAATGCAATTTTTCTTCCCCATGGAAACATCCAATTTTATCAAAGCAATCAGGATACACTAGCTTCAAATCTTCAACTGTGTTAATTTTTGTCTGCATCAGCATATTTTTGCTCGATGGTTTCTGCATATTATTTCCGCAGATATCAATTTTGGTATCCTTTATATTCGATTTAATTTGATCAATATTTAGTCTCACAAGATCGAACATCTTGCATGTTGGAAGGCCTAATATTGCTGGTCCTGATACATCAACAACATAGAATTTTTGTTTTCTATAAGCGTCTTGCTTTGCTTTTCTGATTTTCAGTAGTATCGACCCATGGCACTTTATGTTTGCGCCAGAATATCCCGAAAGTTTCACCTTTGGTTCTGGTGTCAAAACTTGTCTGGTAGGACGTGTTCCAAACATTCGTTTATATACTCTCATAGGCAAAGTATTTCCACCAGCACCTGTATCAACTTTCAATCTCAGCGGCCCTTCAACATATGGGTTATCATACAGAAGTTGCATTGTTGTATATGCTTCATTTGAATTCAATTTTTCAAAGGATAAATCACTTATTTTGATGTGACTGAATTGATTTGTTTGGCAATCATCATTGTTGTCATCATTGCACTGCAATTTTAATTCGTCTTGTTTATTTGTGTAATCTCGCTTCCAGCGTTGTTTTGACGACTTCTGGTAGTGATGACTTACACTTTTATTTTTGTTATGTTTAACAAATCGATTTGTATGCTGTGATTTATTGCGGCACATTTTCTTCCAATGGCCTTTTTCTCCACATGCATTACATATGTCATTATAAGCAGGGCAATCCCGTGGTTGATGCTTTAATCCACAGCGAAAGCAACCTTTCGACCCAAACCTTATTCTGTCCAATCTAGTTTCTGACGTCGCCATCCTTGAGATTGATGTTTGAGATGATTGTACAGCTTCGTATTCTCTTCCTTTTTCAAGAACATCTTTAATCGAATGACCTTTAGGTTTAGACAATAATTCCTTGCGAAAATCATTTATTGGCGTCGACAATATTATTAATTCTATCAGGCGTTCATTTAATTCATCAACTGTGAATTCACACCTAGAAGCTTTGTCCCGCATTCTTGTTATAAATTCGGTTATAGTTTCCTCCGGCTTTTGTCGTAGTTGTGCAAATTCTAATCTGTGCACACGATAGCTTATTTTGACAGTGGCGTCAACCTGGCTTTCAAGAAGGTTCCAGATTTCATCTGGATTTTTTCTGTCTTCTTCAGTGAGTCCAGAATTTAGCACACGTCTCATTCCTTCGTCTCCTATAGCAATACATATTTTTACAGCTTTTTTGGCATTTGATGTGACTTCATTATCTTCAAGGAAAAGATTCATTCTAGCTTTAAATGCTTTGAAAGATTCGGCAAGTGGCTTGTAATGCCAGTCCATCATGGGCATTTTGCTCGACATATTTGTTTTTTATCACAATTGAAGTCTACCCTCAGGCACACTTAGTCACACAAAATTTTAATATTGCTAACTTTAGGCTACCGGTACCGGCGGGCTCCAATACTGGCATATGCAGCTATTAGACTACTGAGTTTCTTCTTTCTATGTGAGTTTCTTTGTTGGTTTTAGTTTATCACCAAACCGCTGCCACCATGTAATAATATCTCTACCCTTGATTTCTATACCGGAGTGTAGAATATTATCAGAATAAAACTCGTTGTTTCAGAGTACTGTGTTTACTTCACGAATCAGAAAACGTTATACATGTTATACACTGGGGGCAGGCCAGAGCAAGATAATAATGGTATGAAAGGTCATGAACTTAGGCACTGAATTAATATAACATAATATATGCAATATCACTACAGGTATGACCAACTAGTACTTGTGTTAGGCGCCATTATTAGTTTACTCTGTCTGGTTAGAGCAGTGGGACTGCTGAAATTCAGCTTAGTTTACTTTGTGAATGGGAGTCTCGAAGATTAGTGGAGGTTAGCAGCACTCAGATAGGACATAGCTTGTAAGCGAGTCTGCGAGTCTTGGACGACTGTCTGCAGATTTTGAGTCAGTTGGGATCTGCAAATTTTACGTGTTTGTGACGTTATTTTTGGATGACGTCGTCAGGTGGGATTCTGGACATATTAAAAAATTGTTGATCCACGCCTACATAGTAGAAAAATATATGCTTGCCATCGCACTAAGTTTCTCTGTGTATGTTCGCGGAGAAGATTTAACGTTGTAGTCCATGGGTACCGTGCGGGTTAGTGTATAGTTTCGTACCTGATCCTGTGTTTTGCTGACATTTGCTCTAACTCGTGGGGTTAATATCATGTTGAGAGATGGGGCTCGCGCTGTTTGGCTGTACAATTGCATAGAATTGTAGGGTTCCCAAGCTTTTTGTTTGTGCAGCGCCAAATTGTTTTGGAAAAAACCCACGGCGCACTTAAACGAAAAATAATTACTGCTCCTAAATAACACTCAATTTTGTAATTGTTTATCTGTACTTTAAGCCTTTCGATGTTTGCAAACATGTAGGCCTAAGGAATAGTTGATTCTACTTCATGAGATATGTGGCTGTGGTATATAATCGATACTCCAAGTAGCTTCTTAACTGAAATATCATTACTTTCATCTAACAATAAACTGAACTTATTGCTACCAATGTCCTTAGACAACTCTTGTTCAAAATGAGGGCATATTACATTTTTGATGATGTTTGTGCACTTAGTTCGATGCATCTTTACATTGTCAATAGTTTTAGAATTTGATATGTTGTTCTGTAACGTATCAACCATGTGATCACAGTTGGAAATTGCACTATGGCAACTCAAAAACATTGCTATAGATCCTTCCAAACCATGAATGTCATTATTCTTTTCGTTTATCATTAAAGACTTTAATGGAGTAGCTTTGAATGGAAAGAATCAATTATGATTAATAAATGGTGGGCTAATCAAACGATTAAAAATCATATTTATCTCAGGTGATAGCGAAGATGAAGAAGCTTTTTATACGAGGTTGCATATTGAAATAGTCAGCCAGCTAGGTATGGTTTAATGACCTGCAGTTACCTGAAAGCCCAGCAATGGCAATGGCATAAGGTTGACCAAACCGCCATTTTCGGATTTGAATCAACGAAACCACTTAGGGTAACAGTGTACCATATCCCCTATATTTCTCAAGAGTATTAAGATATGTTGATTTTCACCCATTCCTGGGAATTCCGTTTTTTATTACTCGTGTTGATACAATATTTCGTGCACGACGGAAATAAAATATCTAATGAAATACGGTAATTTATTTCGCCGAACTGGGGTTAGGGTAGGCTCTTACCTTTTAATTTAAAAGGTACTTCATAAACCTAACTGTTTTTATCACAAATACTTATTTTACAGCAAAATGCTCTTGCACAACTGAAGAGATCGACAAGTTTTTCTTTGGTTGAAAACGTCGTATGGGCTTTCTCTCCCTATGAAAAATGTGAAAATCCAATCCGTAAATATTCTTATTTTATTTAACACAGTTGTACGGCGATAAATATTTTAAAATAATCTAAAACGGGCAATGTTAACATAAATGGGTAAATGTATGTGGAAATATTTCTGAGTAATGGAATTTAATCATATTTATTTAGCGTCTATTTATCTAGCCTTCAGACGTACTTCAAAGAACCTTCGTACCAAGCCTTGACAAAAGCAGAACCGAATTGACAAAGAAAACGTAATACTCACCGTTTACAGATCAAACATTCGATAAGATGGCATAATCATAAAGCGAAGCAGGGCCCCTGGTCCGGTTACCAGTACAGGTCGGGCATTGGATTAATAAGCCAGTTATTAGTTAGCCAGTCCCTGTCAGGTTTGGTAATAGTTAACTGTTAAATATGTATGGCCTCAGCGGATGTCCTGCATAGACATTGGTACACGCTATAATGCATTTTTATTTAAAAAACGAAAATTTATTTCTCAGCGGTATTATTAATTCGAAGTGGGCAATTTTAGCATTACTCTGACAATCTTGCGAGGGCATTAAATGACAATAAGTTCTGGTAACGGAATATCCAGACGTCATTCAAAGAACCTTCGCGATAAATCTTGTCAAAGGCAGGACCAAATTGACAAAGTAAGAGTAACAATACCCGTTTACAAATCAACCATTCAATAAGATGGCATAATCATAAAACGAAGCAGGGCCCCTGGTCCGCTTATGTCGGATATGGGATCAGTTATCCAGTTAATAGTTAGCCAGTCTATGTCAGTTATGGTAATAATTAATCCTGTTGGATATGTATGGACTCAGTAGATATGCTAGTCAGGGGTGGCCAACCTATGGCGCATGCGCCAAACGTGGCGTATTGCATGAATAGAGTCCGCCTCGTGGCCCATCGTTGTCACGCGTTTTTATTTTTAGAAAATTTGCTTCTGCTTGGGACCAAGGTTGTCAGGCATAATCCTACGCGCACAAATGTTTTCCCTGGGTTTCAAACTCACTACTGATTTCCTTGAGAAATATTCAATATGAAAATGTTCTATAAATTCTCCATGCTACAAGTTCAACAAGAAGTAATATATTTATAATAATGATAAGAGAATATAGAATTGAATACGAAAATTCGGAAAATTTGTTTTTACGTGTATAAGGTAATTTAATTGGAGAATGCTGCTTAACTACTCAGTTGTCTGGACACTCGCGATGCCGGTACCATCTTACCAAATACCGGTAGTCGGTTATAGTCGCTTTGCGTCTGACCGTACCGGTAGCCATACAATCACTCATGAAAGAATGGGAGATACGGATAGTCTCGTAGAATATAGACTACTGAAACACTCTCTGCGCCTGCCCCATACCGTACAGCCGTAACGTACCGATCCAGACAAATGATAAATCGCCCGTGCTCAACCATTTATTTCAATCCATACCTCGATCCTAGTAGAATATAGTGAGTCGAGGTATGGATTGAAATAAATGGTTGAGCACGGGCGATTTATCATTTGTCTGGATCGGTACGTTACGGCTGTACGGTATGGGGCAGGAAAAATGTGAAAAATGAAAAATGTGAAAATCCAATCCGTAAATATTCTTATTTTATTTAACACAGTTGTACGGCGATAAATATTTTAAAATAATCTAAAACGGGCAATGTTAACATAAATGGGTAAATGTATGTGGAAATATTTCTGAGTAATGGAATTTAATCATATTTATTTAGCGTCTATTTATCTAGCCTTCAGACGTACTTCAAAGAACCTTCGTACCAAGCCTTGACAAAAGCAGAACCGAATTGACAAAGAAAACGTAATACTCACCGTTTACAGATCAAACATTCGATAAGATGGCATAATCATAAAGCGAAGCAGGGCCCCTGGTCCGGTTACCAGTACAGGTCGGGCATTGGATTAATAAGCCAGTTATTAGTTAGCCAGTCCCTGTCAGGTTTGGTAATAGTTAACTGTTAAATATGTATGGCCTCAGCGGATGTCCTGCATAGACATTGATTGGTACACGCTATAATGCATTTTTATTTAAAAAACGAAAATTTATTTCTCAGCGGTATTATTAATTCGAAGTGGGCAATTTTAGCATTACTCTGACAATCTTGCGAGGGCATTAAATGACAATAAGTTCTGGTAACGGAATATCCAGACGTCATTCAAAGAACCTTCGCGATAAATCTTGTCAAAGGCAGGACCAAATTGACAAAGTAAGAGTAACAATACCCGTTTACAAATCAACCATTCAATAAGATGGCATAATCATAAAACGAAGCAGGGCCCCTGGTCCGCTTATGTCGGATATGGGATCAGTTATCCAGTTAATAGTTAGCCAGTCTATGTCAGTTATGGTAATAATTAATCCTGTTGGATATGTATGGACTCAGTAGATATGCTAGTCAGGGGTGGCCAACCTATGGCGCATGCGCCAAACGTGGCGTATTGCATGAATAGAGTCCGCCTCGTGGCCCATCGTTGTCACGCGTTTTTATTTTTAGAAAATTTGCTTCTGCTTGGGACCAACGTTGTCAGGCATAATCCTACGCGCACAAATGTTTTCCCTGGGTTTCAAACTCACTACTGATTTCCTTGAGAAATATTCAATATGAAAATGTTCTATAAATTCTCCATGCTACAAGTTCAACAAGAAGTAATATATTTATAATAATGATAAGAGAATATAGAATTGAATACGAAAATTCGGAAAATTTGTTTTTACGTGTATAAGGTAATTTAATTGGAGAATGCTGCTTAACTACTCAGTTGTCTGGACACTCGCGATGCCGGTACCATCTTACCAAATACCGGTAGTCGGTTATAGTCGCTTTGCGTCTGACCGTACCGGTAGCCATACAATCACTCATGAAAGAATGGGAGATACGGATAGTCTCGTAGAATATAGACTACTGAAACACTCTCTGCGCCTGCCCCATACCGTACAGCCGTAACGTACCGATC